TTCAACATCATAATCAACAGATGCCACGCATGGACTCCGAAATTCCTCAAGGCATTCCTGTCATTCAACCAGCGATGCATCAACCACAGCTTGACCAACCGCGTCAAGTGGAGACCCCGCATGAGCATGAAATTCAGCCACAACAAATTGAAATGCCTTCCAAATGCCCGGAAAAACCAAATGAGGTGTTCATGCATCCTGAGCCGGTAACTCAACAAATTTCCAGTGGTCCCCAGCAAGCACCGACCCAAGTTGAGAACCACCAGCAGCACCAGGAGCAAGTGCAGCCAACTTTGGGAAATCAGGATGCAGCCAAGCATCCAGAAAAACCCGCGGACTCCCTGAAAAAACCGAAGGCAAAGCGTGGTAAGCCAGCACCGGCTGCTGAGCCACCCTCAAAGGCAGCCGTAGTCAACGCGGAACAAGTCCAAGAGGAAGTGAAGCCACCAAAACCAAAGACTTGGGCTGATCTCGTTCGTGGTAGTGCCGCGGACACGGTGTCATCGTCACCCTCACAGCCACCCGCTTTTGAGCAAATTTCTATCACTGAGCCTGTTCCTCTAAAGACTCCTGTGCACGAAGATGAGGTCACACAAGACAATCATGGCCAACGCCCGGCATACGGACGTGAAAATGGCAATTGGGCCCCTCGTGGAGGTTTCCGTGGTGGTCGTGGACGGGGTGCCGGACCCGGTTTTCGAGGTACGTCTTATTGAGTTACAAATATCCTATTTTTATCGTCACATTTCTTCAATTGTTTAGTCGCGACTTTTCTGCATGGAAGATGCAGATTTTACCATGACGGAACTTGATATAGGTAATCATTTATGCAGGCGGATAAGGTTATGTACTGCACCTATCCACACAACCCAAGGCCTTTTCTCAGAACAATGATCCTGAATTATGCCCAAACCAGATTTAAGTGAATGTTTTAGCTTCGGCCTGAGAATACATGCTCGTTTCGTCACGCTTACCGGGGTTTATTTCACACATGTGCAAGCAGAAACCGCCTGCAAACATTGTTCTCTCTCTTACAGGGCATTGCCACCAGGGGGCTTTCAAAACGTTGTTAATATATGTCATGACGTTTAATGCTGTTCGAACTCAATTATCAATTACTGACACAATTGCGATGTTTTCTAAACCTTTTCTTAGTACTTTCGCCATCCACGTTTACTATTATCCTTAATAAGACGCTCGAGCAACCGGCACCAATGAACTACTTTAAGTAATAGTAGTGGAATCTTAAGAAGTATTTCGATTGGCGTTGTCGGGCTTTTGGTACCATTGCAAAGAATTCATTTTCATGGTGTTATATGACATGCCATCGCAGGGTTGCATGTTGTGGATCGTTATAACCCATTCATGTCCTTTGGGATACCCTATGGTGACTAGATCGCTTTCAGTTCTCAGAGCATTCGCATTATATCGGTATATTTTTTTCCAGCAATCTGTTCTTTAAACTTTACCCTTTTTAAATTTCTAGGCGGTCGTGGGAGAGGGAACATGCGTGGATCTTTTCAGCCGAATAATCAGCGTGGCGATTTTCACAACGCTAGGCCGTCTCAAATACAGTCCACTTGCTAAAGGCGATGTTTTGAATGAGCTACCGACCGGACCGCTAGACTTTTGTTGGAGGTTTTGCTTCTATTAAGGAATGTTCCGACACGTTTGTATAGTTTTCCTTTCTTAAGGCACCCCCCTTCCATGTATCCTTTCACGCTGCCGGGATGCTGCAAAGGTCATTTCCCGCTGCAAATACGCACATTCAAACACCTTTTAATCAACTTTGCATTTGCCAAGTTAGGTTCGACTTACTTGCCGTTTCCGCCTGACACCTAATAGAACTGTTGGAAGAATATCTTTTTTGCTTGATACAAGCCTTCTTTTAGGTCTGTCGCCAAAGCTGTGCAACGGGGTTCAAAGTTGGTTGCAGAAACTCAAGTTGGGGTTTATTGAGGATTAAGGGAAGAAAAAATACGGGGTCCATATCCAAATCACACGTTAAGAGAGGATAGGATAAAACTGCGTCCACCGAAATCCGAATTGGGGTTCAACGAATTCTCGGCTGGTTGTCCAAACAATTTCGGATGCAGTTTCCAGTAGGTTTTCCAATCAGATATTGAGCAACTGCTCAGGTGTAATTTACCAAGTTATGAATTGATATACTTCTGAATTCACTAGTTGAAATGGAAGTTAGAAAACTATTATGAAACATTTTAGATAAATATATTTGTTAATAGTTCAATTTTTGATTAGGAGCCAGATCTTTTCTTGATTGGCTTTCAGAAAATTCTGTTTCTTCAACTGAATCTTCATTTGTGAACGTGGGTGCATTATTTATTGAGGATTGTACTCTGCAAAGCAGCCGAGCTAGTCGTCCTTCGTGGTTTTTGCGATATTTAGATTGAATCTCCTTGCTCTTGCAGCTTTTGTCCCTGGAAATTTGCTGTTGCCACTTTTTTTTGTAAAAGTCAAATCTTTCTCCCAAAGTGGATTGGTTGATGCAAAGCAAATATGCGCACTCATCATATGATTGTTCACTCCGTCGATATGTGCGATACATTATCGCCTATAACTACGAGAGCCGTCCAAGGAAGTAGTCATGTACTTCAGCTGCTGTCAATCTTGCGTTTCTTGGTTTGTTCTTTGGTTGGATAACTACAGCAAATTGTGTACTTCCCTGGTAGACATTGACTGGCTTCTCTGAGTCCTTGACTGTGCTTGCATGATCAGAGTTGGCATAGTGGATATACAAGGCGTTATTCCCCGACCAGTAGGCGGAAAAGGCAGAAAGCCGGTATCTGCCCGGTGAACGTTCATCAACGAGTGTCAATATCGCCAGACCGAATTCGGCAAGAAAACGAGCTTGTGGCTCGATGGTTAAAGCGTTAGACTCTGATCGAAAAGGTCGCGATTTCGAACCTCGGGTGGAACACAACTTGGGGTTAGATGTGACGGGCTGACGATGCGTGGTAAGCTAGAAATGACCACTCCAGTCTCCCTTGTCTTTGCCGGCAATTCTATCTGCCTATGCATCAAGCACTTTAGCCGAAACTAACAAAAACAGAGGAATTTTTAGTTAATCGGCTCTAGCTTATTTATGGGGTCCTAACCGTTTCTGGAACGTTCCTGCCAATGGCGTGCATCGGGTGTTCTAGAATATCCCGGCTTGCACACTGATTGCCCGTTTCCCACATTCTGATGTCTCGGCAAACATTCTACGATATTTGCGCCACACGTGTGATCAGTCGTCAAGTGTGCTCGAAGCAACAGCACACACTATTTGTCCGCGCGCATGACTCAGTTGGCATGGTCTGTTGTCACGGGAGCTTCTCGCCTTAGGCCATGACCCCATCGTGGTACTCGCCTCCGTATCACGAGGGTTCAGTTTGACACTTCAGAAACAAAAGTTCAGCTTCTTTTCGCTCAGGCAAAAAAGAGCGAGCTTAATGTTTATGGCTGTCCCTACAAGTACTAGGTACAATTAAAGGTCCTATGATTATCTTTTAATGACTCCAAGAGAACGGCGCAATAGAAGCTATACCATTACGAAAAGTCTAGTACGCCACTTTATCATCACAAAGAGAATAAGTGAATATAGTGAAAATGAATTTCTGGGGTCCAAATCCCGTGTGCAATGGCTTAGTATAGCTTAGCAACCCCTTCGCATTGACTGGACGGCTGCAATTGGTTCAGAACTAACCTCAATGTAGTTATTTAGGATTGGAGTAGGTCATTTACTATAAGTTAAAATCCTTTAGTTATCAAGTTAATCATTAATGGTTGATTAACTCGTCATTATTACATAGGCTATATGATTAAAAGATCGATCAACCAACTAAATACTGAGCTATTTCCTAATGCATCAGTCGCTGAAAAATTACCGAGTCCAATACCTATACCGATCCAGTTTTTTATTGAGTCTTTAATTGAGCACTAGATTTTTTTCTTGGAAGATCTAGTCGGGTATTTATTCTCTTCCTAAACCTGGGACACGTAGCAACTGCATCAGGCGTCTTACATATTCATATTTTATGGGCTTTAAGGTGGAATATTTGCCGCTCGTTTCCCTTCCGTTTCGACAGCGTCCCTACCCATTTTGAGCGTTCAAGAGACCTGAAATACTTTGTAGTCTGTCTCATGGTGGTCCCACAGTGCCAGTAGAATCATGTTTAGGTCTTGCTATTGCTATAACCTAGATCACAACACACGTACAAAAGGAGTAGCAACGTAGGGGGCCCGAGTTTTCCCGCCGTGGCTTGGAGGGTTTGCCAACTGACGGGAAAACTCGGACCCCCAACGTTGCTGCTCCTTTTGTACGTGTATGTTGTGTGTTCGTGTGGGAGGAGAAGGAGGACGGAGAGTCAGGCTGCAATGGCTCTCTCTTAATGTGGCCTTTATGGCGCTTCCGCGAAGGCGGGAGCATACCTAGCGATTGGCTGATTCAAGTGTGCGCGTGTTGAGTGGTTACCGCGCCAGCCATCTAC